GAACAATCACAAACGTGCAAATTAATTATCAACTAAAATAAAGCCCCGAACGTTCAATAACATGTAAAATAATAAATTGTAAAGTAATATTTATTAGAGGTGGCAATTGAATCCATTAAGCTAAAATTCATCTAATTCATTTATCATAAAAAAAAATAAGTTAATGGATTGGATTAAATTCATTCATTTATATGCATGGATGGATTCAATCCATCCAACATATTTTAAGAATCCAATGAATTATTTTTATTTTTGTTAGATTTATTTTTTTTAAAATAATTAAAAAAATATATTTTTTTTTGAAAAAAAAAGTTTAATTTTTTTTAAAAAAAAATCTGTTTTTTTTTTAAGAAAAAAATCGGTTTTTTTTAGAATAAAAAACTGATTTGTTTTTCGAAAATAAAATAAAATTTTTTCTCGAAAAAAAAACCGACTTTTTTTTTGGAAAAAAAATTGGTTTCTATTTCAGAATAAAAAACTGATTTGTTTTTCGAAAAAAAACCAATTTCTTTTTCGAAAAAAAACCGACTTTTTTTTTGGAAAAAAAATCGATTTTTTTTTCCAAAAAAAATCAGTTTTTTTTCAGAAAAAAAAAAAAAAATTTTCTCGAAAAAAACCGACTTTTTTTTTGGAAAAAAATCGATTTTTTTTTCAGAATAAAAAACTGATTTGTTTTTTGAAAAAAAATAAAAAATTTTTTCGAAAAAAAACCGACTTTTTTTTTGGAAAAAAAATCGATATTTTTCAAAAATTAAAATATTAATTTTTTTTTTAAAAATACAAAAAATTCAGTTTTTTTAATAAATATATTAAAAAAAAAATTTTTTTAATATACAAAAAATATTTTTTTCCAAAATAAATTAAAAAAATATATTTATTTTTACAAAATAAAAAAAAATTTGGATGGATGGATATCCATCCATTAAAAATACGTTAATGGATGAATTTGATGGATTTTATTCTTAATGGATAGATTGAATTGGATAATTTTAAGAAAATTTTAGTGGATTGTTAATGGATTAATGGATTGTTTTAATTCATACATTAACAATCCAATCCATATTCATTCAATCAATCCATTTTGCGACTCCTCGTTTTAATTATGTTGTTTTGCATTCCATCATCGAAAAAAGACTGGTTTTATTATGTGAATCTGCATACATTTGGACGAATATATATTCTTAAGAACAATTTGTGTGTGAGTATGACACGGTAAATAATTTAAAACCAAGAAAAAATATAAACCAAAAATAAAAATTACTTTTCAGTCGTGTAAAGATTGAAAATATATTGTAAGCCCTCTTTTTTTAATTAATCCATTGAAAATTTCATCATATTTTTATTTCTAAAAACATTTATAAATCTTTAAAACAGAAGTTATCTAAAAGGTAGAGTAAAGACAAATTTAAGATAGATCTTTTATTTACACTTGTTTTAGAAAATGTTGTATTATTTACTGTATTCTTCTTTTCATTTCCACACCCTTTTATTTAATGAATTTCGTGGAAATGAAGTGAAGCTACCGTCTATTAATAAAATATAAGAAAAAGGAGAGTCAAGTCATCGTCTAAGTTTCTGAGAATCTCACATGTGGAAGATAAACTGACTCATTAGTATATTCCAATTATTCCAACTTAATTATGTTTGTTTTTTAAGGATGTTTTTTTAGTAAAAGAAGAGAGCATATTTTTCTTCTTAGGATGATCTCTATTTACTGAATAGTGCTGGTAAGAGAGAGAATGATACAATAAATATAGTAATAATTTCTTTCTTAACTTTTCGGTCAGTCATAATATCAAGGAATAATAATTCCATTGCAGGGAATCCTGTTTAAAATCCTGCCAACAAATTTATGAAGTGACTGTAAGTTTGAAAAGTAAAGTATTTTTAGACATGATTTTTTAATGGTTTAATTGTTTGGATGGTGGGTGATTAAAATTGATAAAATTGGATTTTAATTGAATTTAATTAATAGAATTAATTTATTTTTAAATATATTTATGTAAAAAATGAATTAAACAGTTTGAATCATAAAATAAAAAATTATGATAAGTTTTTATACAAAATTGTTGAGATACTTTTGATACAAGTGAATCAGTCTTTCATTCGAATCAAAGGTTCTAATATTATTGCTGAGAGAAAAATTTCAACTATGGAGTATTGAATATTGTGAAACTTCTTTTCTAGAGCAACAATTTTGTGAGAGACGCATCACATATTCACTCAAAACTTTAAGATGATAGATGAGTGAATTCTTTCATTTATAAATGTTCAAGTCACCACATTCTTTCATTTATAAATGTTCAAGTCACCACATTCTTATCCAATGTAATATGAGATTATTATCCACACTATTCACATTTGTTATACTTAACAAAAATTACCCTTTTTAAATTTTTTATCATTTTCTTTTCATTCAAATAAGTTATTTCACGTATATTTTTAATTTTTCTCTTCGTGATTTCGTCGTCTAAGTGCAACGTTGTGTTGATCGTCGTCTTATTACGGCATAATTTTTTTCCCGTCTTTGTGCGGTATTTGTTCGATTCAGATTGACAGGTTAATTTCGACTAAGTGCATATTCAATTAATGACGTTGACATAGTCAACGCTGTAGATTCGGATACATGAATATTTTGAGCATTTCAATTCCGTTATATTTGCAAGTTTTGTCACATTAGTTGTCATTTTCCGTTATATGCTATTAACATAGATGCTGTGAGTTTGTTCACAAATTCATTTTTTTTATTTATAACAATTTTGAATATGTATTATTTGTATTCTATCAATTTAAATGAATAAATGTCGATTTTAGTATAAAAAAATTAATTTAAAATACAAAATCAATTAAATTTTTCAAAAAATTAAATATCTTAAAATCACTTCAAATAAATTCTACACCTTTAAAATTATTTTTACTTTTAAAAGGCAAAACAAACATACACATACATTATGTTTGGTAAGACTGAAATGAGGAAGAGGGAAATAAGAGAGAAGTTCAAGACAAATACTAAACTTCTCATGTTTGGCATGCTAAATTTAGAGAAGAGAGATACAATGGGACCCATCACTTTTTCCTTTCTCCTCTCATATGTGAAGAGTTTCGATGACATCTTCCTTCTTTATTTTTTTTAATTTTTTATTTATTATTTAAAAAATAATAATTTCGCTTATCTTATCCTTTCATTTCTTTTGTTTATTTTGCAAAAAATAATTGATAACTCATTATTGTTGGTAGAGACCTTTCATTTTCTTTACCTATTAATGTTGCGACTTTCTTTAGCATTTATATGTGATTCATAAATATTTTGCTGTTAATAAATAAATTATTTTTTAAATAAAATAAATTATCTAACACATTTTAGTTGATTCAATTAATTTGATTAAAATTTTAAATTATCAAATCAAATAGATTAAGACAAATAATTTTATTAATTAACTAGAATTATTCAACATAAAATAAAAGTGAGTCCAATAGTTTTTTATTCAAAAAGATATTTTAGTACTTTCAAAATTTATCAACACTTCCCTCTCTTCTATTTTTCTTCTTTCTTTTTTAAACCAACCAATATCACAAACCTACTTTGTTTTATCTCTTATTATACTCTCTCAATTATTTTTCTCTTCTCAACTTATTTTGTTTTCATTTTTGTTGTTTCAAGATAATTAAATAGTTTTATTTTTTTTTATATTTCAATATAATTTTATATAAAGTGTCATTTTATGAATTATGAAAAATCATTTAAAAATAAACATAGTATTAATTTTTAGTAAACATATAAAACTAAATTAAAATTGTTTAAACTCTGAATATAAAATAGATAATACAAAATTATAATTAAACTATTACAATTTTACATAAATTAATAAACAAATGTCTTTGGATTTGATGTGAGAACATTTTTTATAGGTAATCGTTGAATATCTATGTAAATGTAATTTGAACTTTGAAGTATAACTCGTCTCTAATGAATTCTCAGAGCAAAACTTACATGTAACTTATTAAACAATGTCTTAACTACAATTTAAATTCTCCTATTTTATTTCATACACCTAATAAATTTTAATTTATTTTAATTTGAATCTAAAAATATTTAAAGACAAAAAGCTTTTGTGAAACTTTATAAATAAAAAAAATAACTACATGATGAATTTTAAGTGAAAATTTGTAAATGAAAATTAGATTTATTTCAATTTTAATACAAAAAAATTAATTCTTTTAATAATATAAAATAAGAGAGTTAAAACTTTAATTAAGTCAAAATAAACTAATGTTATAATAAATGACACCTAATAAATCTTGAAGAAAATAGTTGATAAACTCACTATGCAAATTAATTTTATACTGTTCATCAATAATGATCATAAATTCTGTCATATCATATCACAGTGATATTTAAAAAAAAATTAAAACATGACAAACTATTAACTTGTTTTATTAATTAATAATGTAAAACTATTTTAAACTATCAATATATATCAGTTAAACTTTAAATCTTAAAAAGAAAAATATTATGACGATTATTAAAAATGATTGTCATTCATAATTCAAGAAAAATCCATAGTGTAGTCCAGGACCATTCATTAAGTTTTAAAAATCCACGCGAGTTTTAAGTATCAATCGCGATTGCGTCATAGTCACATAAATTTTTTTACAATTTTAATCGATATAAATTAACAAGAATTTAATTTTTAATATAGAAAACAATAAAAGATGATAATAATTTGGATATCAGCACCTATCAAAACTATTATGTCATAGTCGTTCTTGCAAAATCATTAGGTCGCAACCATTTTAGTTGTTGTGGACCATTTTTTAAATCCCGGGATCCATATTTACAAAGGTGGATAGACGTATTAGGACAGACAAAAAAAGTTAATGCAGTAGCACAATGTGGGACCATACCATTGCCTCTTGCGATTATATATACACCACACTCTCAACATTCAGTAATTCCATATACAAATTAAGCATTCTTTACTCTTTTGTTCATAATAGCT